TGGAAGGTAGCAGGCGCATTCTTCAGCCCAAACGGCATCACCGTATAACAATACAACCCTTGATCAGTGACGAAAGCCGTCTTTTCTTGATCTTTTTTCCACAAGGGAATCTGATGGAAGCCGAAGTAGGCATCCATGAAACTCATCAAGGCATGCCCGGATGTAGAGTCGACGAGGCTGTCTATCTTTGGGAGTGGATAGCTATCCTTCGGACATGCCTTATTGAGATCTGTGTAATCAACACACATCCGCCAGGTACCATTCGACTTTTTAACAAGGACAAGGTTTGCTACCCGATCCGGGTAGTAGCATTGCCGAATGAACCCGGCGTCTAGGAGCTTCTTGACCTCGGCGGCTCCGCCTGAGACCTTTCTTCACCGTGGCTCCTCTTCTTTTGCCTAACCGACTTTTTCTTAGGATCCACGGCAAGTTTGTGAACAGCAAGATCCGGAAGTATACCCGGCATCTCGTCCACTTCAAAGGCAAAGATGTCTTTGAACTCTTTCAGAAGTTGGTGCAGTTCCACACCCAACTTCTTGAAGGCAACCGTCCCCACTTTGACGGTCCTCTCTGGACGGCTGTCATCCAGAATAAGATCAGTATTTTCACCAGCTGGTTGAGGACGAAAATCCTCTGACCGCTCCCCAGTCAGTGATTGCTATTTTTTGCCTTTCTTGGCGGCCACCGGGTGATCCGCCTTTCTTTTCTTGCCGGCTGCTGAAGGAGCAGGCACGACTTCCCTATTTTCTTCAACGAGGGTGGGTTCCTCGCTGTGGCCGGCTGTGCCTACAGTCGGCTTGACGTCTGAGAGGTAGCACTCATAGCCGTCTTTTGATCCCCATTCAGGGAACCCACCGTCCCATCATCCCTCTTGAATTTTATCAGCATGAGAGAGGGGATGATGACTGCTTTAGACTCGTTGAGGGTCGGACGGCCCAAGATGAGGTTGTAGGCGGTCAGTTCCTCAACAACAAGGAACTTGACAACCATATGCCGCCCTTCCCCCTTCTCGCCAAGCCGGATGGGTAGGTCAATCCTCCCAATCGGATGGTCAACTCCTCCCCCAAAGCCCACCAGAGGGTGAGGAGCCGGTTGCATGCTATTGGGCTTGTACTTCAGCTTAGCCAAGCACTGGTAGCTTATAAGGTTAGACGAGTTCCCGGTATCTATAAGGATCCGACCCACTCGCTGATTTGCGACTTTGCACTCGATGACTATGGGGTCGTTATGAGGCCGCCTGACCTTGCCTCGATCCTTCTCGGAAACGAGGACTTCGGGGAAGGTGTCTCTCGACGCCTGGCCCTCATCCACTGAGTTGACCAGACGCCGGATGTTATCCTTTTCCCCCCGGATGGTTGGACCCCCTCCGGCGAAGCCGCCTGCTATGGTGAAGATGTGCTCTTCATCCGTATTAGAGCTGACAGCCGGTTTCTTGGACGGTTGTCCTTTGTTCTGCTTAGAAACGCCCTTGGGCTTTACAAAGTAGGACCTTATTGCCCCTTCATCAGCCAGACGGTCCAGCAACCGCCTGAGTCCAAAGCAGTCACTGGTGTCGTGACCGATGTCCTCATGGTATTTGCAATATTTGCTCTTGTCCTGGCTGTGGACGGGACTTTTCATAAGAGCCGGTTTTTCAATAGTCATCCGGTTCTTAATATCCATGAGGATGGAGGTTGGGTCCTTGTTGAACTCGTACTTTGGGACGCACGGTTTCAACTCCCTGACTTTCTTCTGGGACGGCTGACCAGGATGGTCGGCTGCCCAGACTTCCTTTCTCTTCTTGCCCTCTACTTTGGCAGCCGGCTGGGCAGGCCGACTGACCCTCCTGTCGGACCTCTTGGAGTCCGACGGATGCCTGATGGCACACAACTCCGTCGCCTGTATATAGGCTTCGGCCTTCATCAGGGCTTCTTGAAAGGTGGCAACCCTCTTACGGACGAGGTCGAACTTGAAGACCGACCCGTCTTTTAGACCCTTAAAGAAGTCTGTGTAAGCAACCTCATCCGTCAGGCCGGTTATCTGAATTCTCATCAGATTAAACCGCCTGGCGTAGGACCGGAGTCCCTCCTTGTCTCCCTGCTGTATGGCCCCTAGGTCGAGGCTTGTCTTTTTGGCAGGGATGTTCACGGAGAAGTTGGACGTAAAGAGGTACGCCAACGTCTTGAAGTTGTTGATGCACCCGGCAGGGTGGTTGCCAAACCATCTCTGGGCTATGCCCTTAAGGGTAGCCGGGAAGCATTTGCACCACACGGCGTCATCCAACCCCTGTAGGTACATGAGGTTGGTGTAGACCATGAGGTGGTCTTCCGGGTTGGTGGTACCGTCGAAGGTACCGACCAACACGTTCTTAACCTTGGTCGGCTGGGCCGCCTTGGTTATTTCCCTAGAGAACGCCGACGGCTGTTCACCAAGGTTGAGCAGCCGGAGCTACCAATCGACAGGCTGGACGGGTGCCGCCTGACCTCCGAATAGAGCCGGCTGCATGTATGGGGGTCCATAGGGCAGGTATGGCTGTTGAGGCACATACGGTGCCGGCTGGATAATCTGAGGGCTAGTTCGTGTGGACATGCCATGTGACTGACTCTCTCTCTTTGTTTCCGAATGCTTCATGGAAGTATTGCGGAAACTGTCTGGGAAAGTCGACGTGGAAGCCGACTCAGACATCTGTTGACTTCTCCTCTCCTGGATTAGAATCCGGGCGTCGGAGTAAGTCTTTTTGGACCCATCCGGCTGTACTTGCCGGATGGCTTTCCGTTGCCCTGATTCAGGGAAATGGAGCCTTGAGAGATCGATAAGGGGCCCATCCGTCCCCTTTGGCTTTGGGTGTGGAGTGGGCACCCGATCTTTCACTTGCTTCTTCCCGGAGGGAGAAACCTTCTTTGCCGCCTGCCCCTTCATTGAAGGGGAAGGCTTCTTGGCCGACTGACCCCTGTTGGGGCCAGTAGACTTCTTGATGATGTCCGTGATTTCCCCCTTGAAACTAGTCATGAATTTCATGAGTTCGTCTCTGGTGACGGGGGCTGAGCCCTCCGCCGCCTGGGGTACCCTAGCCGGCTGGGGGTTTAGGGACTGCATCTTCACCTTGTTCCCTTACTTCTCGGGAACGGGTGCGTCGTGATCTGAATTACCCGTCTGGGGCCACATAGGTGTCGATTTCATTATCGTCACCACTGCCAGGGTCCGTGTGGACCTCGGCCTCGACCATAGGCCGTTTGCCTTCGGCATGCGATACATAGTCAGAAGTCATCTTGGAAGTACTCTCCCCACAGACTGCGCCAAATGTTTCGGGGTTTTTTATTTGTCCTACGGGAGAGTTACAATTCCGAGACTGAGCTTGCTGACCGGCTGTACCTGCAAAATAACGAAACTCCGGTTGGGTGGAGTTCCACCTCCAACGATAAAGTTAGAACGTGTGAAAGGAGTTTGTACGGAAGTAAAAGTGTTTCTTTCTGATTCAGAAAGGGAATCTGAAATTTAATGCTCTGGTGTTTGTGTTTTCTGTGTTTGGAAATTTGTGCATACCCCATAAATGAGGATTTTTCCTCTATTTATAGGGCAAGGGGATCAGTTTCCCTGCCAAATAGTAACGTGCCACGTGTCAACCTGGGATTGGATCCCACTGGACCTTTCAGGGGGCTGACACGTGTCAGCTTCTGATTGGGACACGTGGCTAAGGTGATTTCACCCTAAACAACACTTACCAAATGCGGTCGTGTTTTAATAAGTGTTACACTTTTTTTTTTGGCAAAAAACTATATTTTAATATTATAAATTTTTTTTCTCTCATGGTCCCCATCTAAACCCACTATTACCATTTTTTTACTATTATTTATTTCCTCTCACATTCATTACTTTTTTATAAACTATTAACACCACTATATCTCTTCTACAATTTTTAAATACACCAACTATCCCACTTACCTCTTATTTTATTTAAGTCAATTAAATTGCTTAAATCTATGTGCCGATCAAAGTATAACACTATTAAAACATAGATGGGGTGTGATTGCATTAAAGTTCACTTCATCCGTTTTCAAATTAATGCCCTAATTTGACATGTTTGCAACTTTGCACTATTTATGTTTTGGGTAAAAATACCCAAGCCATATGGCCCAATCAGAGGGTAACACGTGTCACCTTATGAGAGGTTCAATAGGAACCAATCCCCAGCTGACACGTGGCACTCCCAATCAGCAGGGAAAAAGACAGCCTTCAAGGCCCAATTTCCGAGAAAGCCGCAAAAACGGCGCAGCCCACCAAACCTAGGTCATTCTGACCTAGTTAAGGGCGTATTTACTAACGACCCTATAAATAGGGATATTTCCCCATTTTGGGACACATTCATTTTATTACACACAATCAATTCTTTCGAAAATAGAGAAAATACCTAATCTCGGAATCCGAGAAGATCTCATTTAACTTTCCGCACTTTTACATCACTCCGAACACTTTCTAACTTGATCGTCAGAGGCGAAACTCCGAACACCCGGAACTTCCGTTGTTTTGCAGGTATAGCCGGCGGGAAATCAGTCTTGGTGACGTAACTCTTTCGAGGGACAAAAAACCCCGAAACAATTTACATACATCACATTAATCTTTGATGTTGCTTTAACCAAAGTGAGACATTTATTTTAAAACAAATGGAATGATGTAATTAGACAAACTTCCTCCGTTTTTATTTACTTGCAACACAGCCTTCTGACACGTGCTTTGAGGTCGAGATTATATAATGTAAAAATGGGCAACATTGATACTTAACCCTACTCTAATTCTCGTATTAAAATTATTTTAATAAAATCGCTCACTTACCTTCACTTCTAATCTCCTAAAATTACGTACATAAAAGGTGCGTTGCAAGTTAAAAATATAGAGGAAATATTTGATTAATTAAATCACATGAATTAATTTGAATTTATATATATATATATATATATATATATATAATATATATATATATATATATATATATATATATATATATATACTCTCTTTCTCCCTCTATCTCTCTCTTTCTTCAAGTAAACGATTCCTTTTCTTATTAAACTCTCTGAATTATAAACCCTAGAAAGTTTCCCTTTTTCTAACTGAGTTAATTTATCTTGGTTTCTGGAATTCTAAGTCTTGATCTGCTCTGAACTCACCTGGGTTATTCAAACTTTTTTGGGGTTAGAGATTTTGCGTAAATTTATTTTGGTTTTCGCTGAGGCAAAACATCGAACACCTTGTATGCATTTTTCTTATTGGTAAGCTCTTTTCTTTTACCTTTCTATGTTACCAATTTTCTAAATATTTTCATTGGCTTCAGTTTGAAGGTTCTGCTGTACATCAGTTTTGCTTTTTAACGACTTTTTTTTTAAAAAAAAAAAAAATTTCCTTACTTTATCCTCAATTTTTGCTTTCATGAATGGTAGATTAACTTGTATTATTTTTTTGTCTTGTTTTATGCAGAAATTGCTGGAAGTGGATTCTGTTTGATTGGAGATTGGTGTGATTTAGTATCCAATCTTACACAAAATTATTCTTTTAGATTGTAGTCTTTCTGCTTGGAATATTGTCAGAGAATTTGTTCTAATTCGATTTTAGCTGATGGGTTTAATTTGGGTATTGATTTGAAACTATGGTGCTCATTTTTGACTCATGAACATCAAGTTTTGGATTTCGGATTCTGGGTATTGATATTTTTTTGGGGTTAATGTGAATGAGATTGAGCATTTTGATCATTAGGGTATGATTGGTATTGTGGGATATTGGTTATTGTGGTTGAATTGTGGGTTCTTATGATCAGTGTTCATTTGGTGATTTTCGCGGTACAGGAGGTTTGGTCTGTGTTTGTTTATAATGATGATGGATGAAATTCAAGGTGGTTCAAATGCTTTGCCTCCTTTCCTTACAAAGACTTATGAAATGGTGGATGATCCCACCACTGACTCCATTGTTTCGTGGAGTTCGACTAATAAGAGCTTTATTGTGTTGAATCCCCCTGAGTTTTCCAGGGTTTTGTTACCTAGGTTCTTCAAACACAACAATTTCTCAAGCTTCATTAGGCAGTTGAACACTTATGTAAGTCATATTCAATATTCAGTTTGTAAAACTTGTTAGTTTTCGCGTTGTTTTGATGATGTAGTGCAGATTTAGCCTTTTAGGAGTATTTCCTTATGATTGTGTTTATTCTGTTCATGAAACAGGGTTTCAGGAAGGTGGATCCTGAGCAATGGGAGTTTGCCAATGACGATTTTATAAGAGGGCAATCACATCTTCTGAAAAATATACACAGACGCAAGCCGGTTCACAGTCACTCGTTGACTAATCTTCATGGACAGGTGAACTCGAATCCATTAACTGATTCCGAGAGGCAGAAATACAAAGATGATATTGAGCGACTGAAACATGAGCGGGAATATCTCCTGGCGGAGTCCCAAAGGCAAAGGCAGGAGGAGCAGGTTTTAGAGTCTCAAGTGCAGCTTGTGAAAGAGCGCATGGAGTATATGGAAAAGCGGCAGCATAAGTTTGTTTCATTCTTTGCTCAGAAATTGAAGAAACCCGAGCTTGCTTTTGCTGTGCCTCAAGTAGATAACCATGATAGAAAGAGAAGGGTGTCTTCTAGGCCCGACTACTTACATGATGAAACAATCAACGAGGATAGCATGGGTGCTTTGAGAATATCAAGGAGAGGAAGTCCTGATGATTCTTCTGGTTTAGACCTCGACACTGATCTGTTGGAGAGGATGGAATCATCTTTGACGTTTTGGGAAAATGTGGCTGAGGATATCGAGGTTCTATGTGCGCAGAGAAATTCATCCATTGAGCTTGCTGAGTCCACTACTTGTGTAGAGAGTCCAGCAATATCTTATACACAACTGAATCTTGATCTTCCGTCTAGTTCATCAAGAATTGACGTGAATTCTGAACCTCCTGTCACAGCTAGCATAGTTGCTCCTGATCCACCCCAACCACGGAAGGAGCAAGAAGCTGGAAATGCTCCTGCAGCGCCACAGGGTGTAAATGATATGTTCTGGGAACAATTTTTGACTGAAAATCCGGGTTCATCTGATGTACAGGAAGTTCAGTCTGAAAGAAAGGAATCCGGATTGAAAGAGAAAGACAGCAGATTGATAGATCATGGGAGATATTGGTTACACAATCTTCCGGAACACATTGAGCAGCTTACTTCAGCAGGCAGGAGCTAATACCTTCTGATCATTTTTGACTTTGATGATTTAGGGTTGAATGTAAATATAGGTAAGCTTGTTCCTGATACTTTTGTATTAATAGAAGTCAATATGCTATTGTAAAATTATAATGCTGGAGATTGCCCATTTTACACTAACACTCTATAGACGTATAAGATTTTCTCGGCATGATTACCTTTGAAACGATTATTATCCATTTTCTTTGGAGTATCACTATTGGTATTTTCCTTGTTATGCTTATCTGCGGAAGAAGCTCTTGTTATATTGCAGGTCATCGCTTGTTACTTGTTTAGCATGCATTTTTGGGCAAGTTAGATATGAAGCATGTATCTAGGTATCTATGTAAGCTATTAGGTTATCGACCTCTGAAGCCTTTGCTTCAGTCTAATGTATAAAAGGACCCTGTACATGCTTGGCTATTATTAGAACCTGTTTTTATCACAGCTCACAGCTTTGTATGTTATAACTCATTATATTCAATACTTCCTATGTAGTATCTTTTACATATCATTCACCTTTGTGAAAGTTTGTTTTTTTAAGGGCACAATTGTTGTCATAAACAAAAGACATTTTTTTGTGGTTTTGGCTCTGATTTACATACAATATTGGAACTTCTCTTAAGGAGCAAATGTTAGCTCATGTATTGGATTGTTTGGGAGCATAGAGGCATAATCTCCTCCTTCTGTAGCAGTGACCTTGGCACAATTCTGTCTTCCCCTTGGAGGTTGTATACTTACCTCCTCTTTCTCTGGACAATGCTCTGTGCAGCTGTGCTGCATTTTTAGAGTAATTATGTTAGTATATGTAGTAGCTCAAGCGACTATCTTTATTATGTGTGCAAAGTAAAAAGTTGCCTCCTTGCTTCTCTGTTCCTATTAAAAAGGGTATTTCCTGAGAGTCTTCAGAATAAGTCTCTCTGCTTGTTTACACAGGCTCGGTAGATATAAGACTGCATAGATTTGGTACGCCACAGACCACGCCTACTGCAGAGTCACACTGAGGTTGATTATTCTAGCTCATTGAGGTACATGATTTCACTGTTAATTTATGATTTGTGGCATAACTTCTGTCAAAGTCCTATGTTTAATTTTGGTAGGTGCTTACTATCATCCAGCTTTTGACTGTTGCTTGGACTCGTGTACTTGTGTCGGACATAAGCTTGTCAAAGCGTCGAACTCTTCTATTTGTCGAATTTTTTTCATGTTTATGGTCCAAAATGAAGTGTAGAGTGTTGAGGAATCCAACACAAACACTTGAGGTAATATGAAGAGTCCAAGCAACAAAAAGAATGAGAGTACACAGTGCGTGTCAATTAACGATATTGTTTCCTAAAAAGCATTGTCACCAATACAGTGACAATTCCATTTTTGATCAAACGTTAATGATGCTGGTACAGAGATAAACCAGTAAGAGGTTTGTTGGGGTTAGAGGGGGTGGCTTCAAGTCTTTCTATGATAAGTTGACATTCCTCCAAACTTTAAAAGGAGAAAGGCTTCAAGTGCACATCATTAGTTTGTTGGCAAATGTGTACTTATCTATCATACTATACACCTATCTATTTTGTTATGATTTAACCAACCAAATTTCCCTTTTAGCCCTATCTGTATTAGTGCTCCCCTTAACTTAATTGGTAGCCTGCTTCTTAACTTTGCTGTGATTATGTGGCACCTATATTAACCAAGAAGATTAACCTTATTTTATTTATTTATTTTTTTGTGGTGATTTTGTGGTTCATATATTGGATACTTTTGACTTTTGTAATTGGTAACCATTTGCTGGAATTAGGGAAGCAATACATCATTACATCCTCTTTAAGTGCCTTCATTTAGGGTAGGATTTGCATCTTGAATAAAATTGTTTCAAACTGACTTGCATGGAGCGCTAATTTATCTAGTTGTATAGAGATATGACACCAATTTCTTGCATTTTGAGTTTTCCTTATTCTCTGCCTTCTATGTATGTCATGTCCTATTTGTTAGACAATAATACATGTCAACTCTCCTATTGGATTTTTTTTTTTGTTTGTGTGTGTGTAGGGATTTGTTGTGTAGTTCGGGGTTTGTTTGAGATTGTTACCTCTATATTATGGTTATTGTAGAGTCGAGCATTAAGGTCTGTCCAATTTGAGTGTACCCTCTTCTTTCTCATTTCGTGCATGAAACAAATTTCTATTACTTTATTTTATTTCAAAATTGTTATCTTAATGTCATGCATAACAGCATAAGTTTATAGAAGGGGTTATATATAACATTTTAGTAGCCATAACGGGTAAGTAATACTTATAACCGTTAATCAGTGCAATTTTTTTTAATCAATAAAACTCTATGAATATTTTTTTTTTTTTTTAATTAGTTACAAATTGAAATTAAGTTGCCTCTTATTCAAACTTATTGGCTCATGTCTAATTCCCATTACTATAATCTGAACTTAATTTTCCATAACCTTCAACTTTTAAGATGAACTTAACATAGCCGAAATGAGATCAAGTTCTCATTGTAAGGAATGCCAGAATGGATACAGTAGTATCCTACACAGTACGAGGATATGACTAAGGTGGGGATACGTGTGTAATAAAGCATAAGATCTTCCAAGCTGTTAAATTGAAAACCCAATTCGTTCACATACGAAAAAATTCTCATAAAGAGTTTGAGAACCTCCCTGCTTTCAAAAGTCAACGCATATTTGGTGGTATAATTTGGTAGTGCTGTTTCCCAAAAGTACTCATGTTAGCTTTCAGGTTGTTGGAGACTTTCAGGCCATTTCTATATATATGTATATATTTTTTTTTTTTAACTCCCAACTTGCAAGAAAAATGACTTTTTTTTGTTTTACCCTTTTCTCTTGCTCCGATTGGATCTTGTTCGGCATGCCTGCAAACCCGGACTAGGTTGTTCTATAAGAAGTTTTAGCGGTACGGTCTTCTCTTTATCTTAAATAAAAAGTTGTGAACCTCTATATTCCTTTATTCTCTTTTAGTTACGAAATTTACACTATTTACGTTCGACCATTTAACTACCTTTGTTGGTCTATACGTTGGGCAAAATGTATTTATGTGAAATTTTAAATCTTGTTAGATACGTCTCATTTTATATTTTCACAATATAAAATTTTTATATTTTTATTGATTTATAATTAGATAGAGAATTGGAATTATGCATTGACAAGCGTAAAAGTCAAAACGTTACAACTAAAAGAGAGTGGATGAAATAGTAGTAAATAAAATGTAATAAAATAATTCTATGTTTGTAGGGACATTGTTATAAGTTTTGTCTAATTGATTGGTGGGCGCTTCATGAAAAGCAATTACATTCAAAGTCATTCACATTTGCAACTTGTGTTGAACAAAGTTGTAAAATTTGACTTGCCTCTTATCTTGTTGTCTTTTTAAAAGTTTGACCATATCCTTAATTCCTGGTGCCATATTGGATTTTTTATTTAGTTTTACGCAAAAGATTATCAATAATTGTAAACTACTAATCTTGATACGTGATTAGTTGACCATTGTGTACAATTGTACAAAGATGAAGCAATCTAGGATATAAGTAGTGTTGTAAGTTTCTAATCTGAATCGTTAAATTTGACTGTTTTGAACCGATTCGAAAAGAAACTGAATCGTTAAAATTCCATTTTTGAAAATCGAAAACCGATCCGACCCAATTTTTTTCTAACCCGCAACTGAACTGTACTGAATTTGTGCGAACCGTTACTAACCTGACCCGTTATCAAGCCAAACCGTTACAACCCAACCTGACAACAACCCGAATCGATTACGTCTGACCTCGATAGTAACCAGACCCATTTTAAACTGAAAACCGTTTAAACTCGGCAAAAATCCGATAAATCTGAACTGGTCCAACGCGTAACCCGTTGTGACCGAACCATTTATAACCCGTAACCCGTTGAGACCGAACTGTTTACGACCCGTAACCCATTGAGACCGAATCGTTTACAACCGGTTTCCTGTTATGACTGAGTCGTTTACAACCCGTAACCTAATATGTTTATGATTAGATCCTTTTCAACCCACTACTCGATAAACCTAACTTATTTATGACTTAACTTGATTATAACATGACCCGTTCCTACCCATTATCTGACAAACCGATTATGACATGAACCGATAATGACCGGACCCGATTTCATCCGATCTGTTTTGAACCGAAACCCATTTTCAAACCGACCCAGTTTAACCTAAATTGATAATGACCCGAACCGATTACAACCCGACTCGATTAGGACCCGAATTGTTTTGAACCGAAACCCACTTTAAACTGGCTAAACCTATTTTCAAACCGACCTGGTTCAACCCAAACTGATTAAGACCCGGATCAACTACAACTCGACCCGATTAGGACCCGACCCGAATAAAAACCGCAATAAAAAAAACCAAATCGAACTTACCCGATGATTTTAAAAACCGACCCGCTAATCATTTCAACCCGTTATAGCCCGAAACTGATAAACCCAACCCAAACCCGAACTGTTTACCCAAATTAACACCCATAGATATAAGTTAATATTGTACAAACCAAGGTTACACAATCTTACACAATCTTGTAAGGGAGGAAAGGGCATGTTCTTGGAATCTTGGTTGTGTAGTTTGTTGAAATTTTAACTATTTGCAACTTCTTGTAAGTGTAAGATAGACAATTGATAGTTTTATTAATTGTTATTTACGAACACATTTGTTTTTGTATTATTATTGGTTACAGTGAGTAATTTGACAACGAAGCAAACTAGATTTGTACAACACATACATCTTTTTGTTTGTGTATAGTGCAAGTTCATGCATGATCTTATCTTAACTCATTTTATCAACAATTACTATTTAATTGACCATTTTTGTAAACAACTATCTTTTAATTTTCTTAAAACTACCACAAAAACACATTTACATTTACATAGTCCCCCAAAACGGAGATTCTTGCCAGAAAAACTAAATATGATAGTACTACGTACTTAAAGCTTTTGTGTTTTTGTGGTAGTTTTTTCAAAAATAAATAAATTTAAAGGTAGTTGTTTTCAATTGTGGTCGTTAAAATGATAATTGTTGACAAATCTCCTCAAATTAATTTTGTTTGTAGAGGTTTAGAGCATCTTGTTGGAATTAGGATTAATATTCTGTGGAAAAGACCTTGACCTAAATACAAGTTTTTCTACAAGCCCATCATTGTTAGAGACATAGTTAGAGGTTGATTTGATAAAGCCTT